TTTTATTTAAAAATAATTATTAAATATTTTAAATCTGGACAGTTTAAATCAAATAGATGGGTCAGATCTGATGAGTTTGGAGTGCTCATCATTGCGATAAACAATGAAATTGGTTCTGGGGGAATTGATGCTGCTTTAGTGTACATTATAATTGACAACTCGTTGGCTAGGTTGAATTATGGGAAAATGACAAATAAAGACTTTGGAAATTACTAAGTTCCAATCACAATTCATTACCACACTTTAACATGTCTAGTTTTAATAACACTTAACTTGCAAATAATAACACATTCTTATAGGAAGTCCTGATTTGATATTTAGCAATTTTCATAGTCTTTTTCTGTCATTTTCCCTTGAATTATTGTGATAGATATGAAAGTAACAAATATATATACACACATATAATATTAGGGTTTATGCACTTAACCACGAAACGGGTTTCTGGTTAATCATTTTGTATGACACTGGAGCTTCAGAGTTCATACTAGATCAACTAATTCAAAACCCTGAAACAAAAAATTACATTAAATATTTAGATATTTTCAAAGTGTAAATTTTAGCTTATTATAAAAAGGGAGGATTATATTCTTCAATGACAGTTAACTGTGTCCGTGTTGGAAGTTATTAACACGACAAGGGATTAATAATTACGTACATCCAACGGAATATATCTGTATCCAATGACACAGTACAGAAGGAAGTCAACTGTATACACACACACGTGTGTGTGTATCTATGTACGTATATAGACCCACAGTTACTTATCTCATGAATCATGAACTTAATTAGTACATTGTCGGAAAGATAAGTTTGATCTGTCTGTAAACTTCAGCTATTGACTGAGTAGATCAACACACACACACACACACATATATGTATGTATGTATGTATATCTTTATCATCTCATCACACAAATCCAAAACTAACACAGAGAGAGAGAGAGGAAATTAAAGGGAAAGAAAAAAATGTATAAAATCAAAGAAAAGAAAAACCCCAATATATGGATAAGGGCAAAAAGCATCAAGGAAATTAACACCATCATTGATACATAGAAAAATTGAAGAAGCCAAGATTCATAGATGAACCTGGCCTAAAAACTTGAAATACAGGAATTGATAACCAGAGAGAGAGAGAGAGAGAGCTATATGGACCTCAGGATTTTCTGGACGTAGTTGGAGAAAATGTGAGGCCAGTGAGGCCCCAGGGATTTGCTTCCATCCACAACCAGCATCAACCACTTCTGATCCATTATTAAGTTGATCGATGAATGTATCTGTTTTATCAGCAAGAAACGGCGGATATCTGAAGAGTTCTAGAGGAGAGGAGAGGAGACAAAAGAGAGAGAGAGAGAGAGATTTGAAACAATGACGCAGAAAGAGAGGAGAAGAAGGATTCAAGAGAAAGATGGCGGCGGGCTGCTTAGTAAGAAAACTAGCTAGGGATCAGAGCTCTCTTTGATTTGCTTATGCCTATCACTATTGGTTTCTTGTAGAGCTTCGCGATTGTGTGCACGTTATGCCCAGTGGCTTCCTACTTTTTGAAACGTAAATATTCTCTTCTGACTCACTTCACAATGCCTTCAGTGACTGTGACTCTTACAAATCTTGTATTCCACGTTATTGTTTCAATCTCATGGAGCATGGGATTTTTAAAATTTGTTCAAATACTTATCCGTCATTAATATAAGATCTATTTAACTAATTTGATTAGATTAAGAAAGTAAGGTAAGTTAGTTAACTATAAAAAATATGACATGTTTTTTCTAAAACATCATAATCATCTTTCTTAATATTCTTTTTCCATCATTTATTTGATTATAGTTAAGGGAGTATCTATAGGGATAATTTAGAAAAAATTAATAAATATAATAAATGAGTCTTATATTTAGAACCAAAATCAACTTAATAATTAGTTCTATATTAAGAACCGGAGGAGTATTTGCTTTTGACCATTAGATTATTTGGACGATTTAGATCATGCTGCATAGTGGAGGGCTGAGATAAAGTGGGATGACCAATCAATCACATGATGATATCTGAACCGCTCAAAATATAATGGATTATTTCATAGAAGTTTGCAAAGTTTTTGGTTTGGATCATTTGTGTTACTTTTCTGGCCTGGCCGGTGGCCATAATGTATTAATGTTGAATGTATGGCAGAAAGCAACTACAACAATTAAGAGAATGAGATTTTAGGATCCATTTACATTAATTGTTCAGTCACCTAATAATTTTATATTATGGTAATAAATTTTATTTTTATGTATTAAAAACCTTTGACTTTTTTAATTTTTGAATAAGCTATAAGAAAAATTATTGTTTCAACAATAAATTTACACTGTACAAAAAGGAAAACAGGTTTAGTTACAGGTTCCCCCCCCCCCCGGGGGTGTGTAGTGATAGCAGAAGCTAGGGAGAATTTCATTGAGCCCCTTGTAAGTACTTTATTTTCAATCGCCCTTGTATAACTAAAATTTCACTGCACCCATTTAAGGCTAAAGTGAAATTAATTCTGAGAGCAAAAAAAAATCAATAATAACCTTGTAGAGAGAAACAAGAAAAGAGAATTCATAAGTGGAATATGAGAATTTATAGTCAAGATAAGAAAATATAATTCACAAAAGAAATAAAATCATTTGCAATCACAATAAGGCCATTTACAAATAGAATTAGTATTCTAATAACTTAGGGAATTAAGATTTACAAGTAAAATTCAAAAATTTATGACCAAGATAAGATGATTCATAAGAGAAATAAGACCTCTTATAATCAGAATAAGGCTATAAGGATAATAATATCTTTTCACACCCACAAAATTTAATTTGTTTTTTATCCCTAAGAGTGTAGTGAAATTTCAAAATGTTTTGGGCTAATGAAAATTGTGTTGCTTCTTCAGGCAAAAAAAAAAAAAAAACTATGTTGCTTCTATCATAAAACTAAAGCAAGCACATATATAGAGTATTTTAGATTATGAAAAAAACTAAAAAGAGATGGATTTGAATACTCTCAACCGAGGCTCTCTCAGTCAAGTCTTAATACATAAATATATAGCGTAAATTAAATTGAAACCTGGATTAATTTTCAAATTTATCAATATAATCTTAGACTTCCACGTATGGTATCAATGAAATGCTTTTTGAAATAATTAATAAGAATGCATTAAGTCATCAGTGTTTATAGTTTCACTTAATTTTTAATCAAGTTTTTATTAAAAAAATTTCTGTATAATTTTTTCAAGTGTAATATCCAATATCAACACCTATATGGAAGATTCTAAACCGCTACAAATGGATTATGGTTTTCTTTTGCTTGAGCTGCTTCCAAGATCACTACTGTGTACGCCACTAGATACATTGTAGCAGTTTCGAAGAAAACCGCTGCAAATGATCACTTTTGTTCCAATTTCTTGGAACTGCTACAAATCAACTTTGCTTTTTCTAGTGGAAATATAAAATTCATGATTTTTTTATCTATCTAAATCATGGATTTGGTCGAAATTCAACTACAAATTTAAATACTTCCAATCCAAACGCAACATAAAAGTAATTTGATGCGCATTAATTCCGTTGAAATCTTTGAAGAAGGAATAATACTTCATTAATTTATTTGTTGGTGAATGTTTCTTTAAATTGACGAGCCTTATTCAAAACAAGAAATCAGCAAATCTTTTCTAGTTTTCAAATCTTTCTGCAAATTTAATATTGGGATAGTCTTTCACAAAGTTTCTTCCAATAGTGCTCAAGGGTTAAGGATTTGTATGTATTCACTTGAAATACTCTCAATAAAATTGGGAGCTGGGCATCAATCAAGAAGCATTAACCATTAAAGTGTGACATAATAGTATTGAGGAAGAAGTTATGATTTTCTCAATAAAAATTGGCAAAGGTCATTAATTGTTAAATACTCCTCTGGTCCTTAATATAGGACTCAATTATTATTTTAATTCTGGTCTTAAATATAAGACTTATTTCTCATATTTATCAATTTTCTCTAAATTATCTCTATGGATACTCCTTCAACCATAATTAAGTAGAAGAGGAAGATGGGGTATTAAGAAAGATAATTATGGTATTTTAGGAAAAACGTGTCACATTACTTATAATTAACTAACTTACCTAACTTTCTTAATCTAATCAAATTAGTTAAATGAGTTTTATATTAAAGACCAGAAGAGTATTATTTTTCAAGCAAGAGGGACTCGAGGTTGGTCCCATCCTATCAATTGCCTAGTCAGCGGGAGTAATAGAACTTAAAAATTACAGTTTTTTTTTCATAACGTTAAAATTTACAGTTTTAAATTATAAAAAAAAATTATATTATTTTAATTTAAGATATGAAAAATTATAAACTAAAACTAATTTTTTAAAATATTTGAATAGAATGTTTAAAATCACCAACTTAAAATGAATAATTTTTATTGCTTTAGGCAAAGGCAACATTCTGGAAAATTCAATCCAAGGTGGTCTCAAAAATAAATATTTAAGGTTGTACTTTTTATTTTTTAATGTCTTAAAATGATTTTATAGTCTGAGTACACAAGTTGCCCATAATAAGATCGGGAGGGAGCAAGAATTTAGATGTTTTGACATGCGCATCATCATCACCAAACCTTCATGCCAAAATAATACTTATTCTTGTTCTATTTATAAGCTTTAATTTTGACAAGAAATGTTATCCACTTTATAAACTTCAATTTGAATTTATCTTAACATTTAATATATTTTTTCAATTTTACTTTTAGTCATAATCTCTTCTATCACATTTTTTCAGACATTCTTTTTTCTCTTTTTCTCTCATTTATTATAAAGACAAAGTATTTGAAAATAAAAGTATATTTCTAACTCATTTATTACTTTTAACTAATTTAAACTAATTATTTATTATCTATGAACTAATCATTTGAAGCTTATAATAATAAGGATCCCAGGGAATATACCGCAAAAGCTATGAGCAAAATCTACTTGAATTGTGGCAAGGGGCAAGAGGGGAGAAACCATAACAGATGAGAAAACAGGCTTCAACTTTCATTCTTCCACTAACAAAACAACTTTAATCCTATATCATCCAACCCATGTTTATCATCCAAGGTGAGGGCAGAGCAAGAAAAAATGTGTAGCAAAAAGAGAAAAATAACAACCCGCCTGCTTATTGGATCACGTTGATCGATTTTGTAAATGGAGAGAAAAGTGCATATCCCCACCCACACATTACAAACTCAGCTCACCAACCTCTGCTCCCAGCGGTTCAAACACGGCTTCAACTTCTTTCTCATCCACTTCCTCCAAACTCGACGGTTTCCATTTGGGGTTCTGCAACAGAATCAGCATACCAACAATGTCAATATATGTAAAATAAAATCTATCACAAAGCCACATTCTTCATAAATTATGAACAATACGCTCATTCTTTATACACTTTATAATGCATGGAAAAATATGTTTAGTCCCCATTCAAGTAGTAAATAGTTAACTGTATTAATCACCATGAATTAAATGAATCTATTTAACAAGTCATATACGGTACAGTCCATTCTTTACACCTTACAGTGGACGAGAAAATATGTTTAGTTCCTACAATACTGATTGGAGTGGTAAATATATCACGTAATAAGAGACAAGTGGCTCGAGAAAAGGCAGTACGACAATCAAGGTTCCTTATACGAGACTACTAGTATAAAGAATGAACTATTATATTAGCACAGAAAACTGACTACAATTACTTTCAACTGTAGATATTCAGCTTCAGAAGCGGGAATTTCAGAGAGCTCAAAAAACAAGCATGGTCTTGCATGATTTGATCTATACCAGAAGCATCCCAATGATACAGATTTCGCTGACACCCACACTTATTTTCATATACATAAACTGAACCTCCACTATCCTAGTTAACTAAGCTAATGATGCTACAGTTTCTCTACAGGCCATTTAGAAACAAGTATGGAAAAACATTCCTTTTTCTCAGTACATACGGAATTGCATTACATTCTTACTCACTTTACTTAATAATACTTTTCCTTTATTGATTACTTTCTAATTCATTCCTTTCTGAGTGGGGCATGCAGAATCAAACTCATAACTTGCAAAGCGAAGCCAGTACGCCCTAACCAGCAAACCACAAGTTTGATAGGTTTTATTTTCCTTTCTATTCTATTTCCTTTTGCATGCCAAATGATCTCAAGCATATTAAAATTATGGAGTAAAAAGAAGGAACCTGATCCTTGTCCACCAACACAGCTCTAACACCTTCCATAAAATCAGGTCGAAGTGCAGACCTCAAGGCAATGCGATACTCACGTTTCATAACACCATGTAGCTTAATTTGCAAAAATGCAGGCGATATATAAGAAGAGTGATCACACAAACTATTTAGAGAAAGCTACACATGATGATTCTAGCAATTGCGTACTCACCGTGGATAACTCATTATCATTTTGTCCTAGTGCAGAGGCCACTCCAGAGAAGTGCTTCTGTGTCAAGCTAAGTGAAAAAGGCGCACCTTTTCCTAGCCCTTGGAGGGCTTCATTAGCCCACTCCACAACTAGAAAAAGAGATAGGAAAATGCTATCACAGTTTAGTAACAGAAAAAATAAGCCCAAAAAAAAAAGACACACTATTTTGATCACATTTGACAGACAATACACTCAATACAGTATGACATTAACAAACTTTAGGTCAACAGGCATACCAGTAGGATCATCACTTGATTGGTGCTTTTTAAGCTCTTCAATAGTCTCAGTAACTGATTTATTTGATCCGAATGATGAAATTATTTCAGGTAAAAGCTGCTTCAACTGTGCCTCAGACTCAGGGTTGGACTCATATCTGGCTAATAGTAATATGATGTCCTGATGCGGGTCCTCAGAACTGTACAATCAATGAACTTCCTTAAGATCTTCATTTTTTTAAAATCCAAGTATACACTCACAAATACAGTGTTCTAGAATTATCTGACAATTTAATATATTTGCAATGAGCATAGAACAAGCTTATACCTTGTCAATGAACTATTCGTGTATGCAGTACTTGACTTATATATCCAAATAAACATATCTACAAAGTATTAAATGGACCTATCTAATCTGAAAAGTTGATGCAAACAAGACTCTTAACAATACAATGGTCTCCAAATTCCACAAAGCCCAATAATAAAAGCAACGGCTGAGAAACTCCCACAAATATGTAAAACGGAAATCGTATATTTATCAAGTTTCTTTTTCATTTTTCCTTAGGCGAAAATACAGAGTCATAAAGGACCACGCTGATACGTACAAGGTAGCTCCCAAAAGGGCCTCCTTGAATAAACCTAACTTTCCAGATGGCACATAATGTGTTCCTATTCCAACATATATAGCATCTGAAGGAGTAGATATCCTTTTTCCAGTCAATCCAAGATAAGCACCTGCAATTAGACAAGAAAGTAAGTGGTAGAACTTGTCGTTATGACCCACCATACCGAGATACTTCTCAATTGTCTTGTGATGAGTATTTTGAAGGCCTAGTTAGGACAAAATAGTGCACAAAGGAAGAGGGGGCCCAAAAAGAGGAAGCATGCCAACCTTCTGATCTTCATCAACTTGTCTAATAAATATAATAAACAAAGAGGAAGTCTCTACCCTAAAGTAACAAACAATCAAACATACCAACAGATCCTCCTCCTGGACTTTGTGCTGCTATATAAGCAAAACCTACATCTGGAAACAAGCCAATTCCATTTTCTGGCATTGCAAGAAGAGTTCTCTGGAAAGTAACACGTAATAAAATTAATTGTTTGCAATTTTAAAATTGTCATTTCACGTATATATTTACACATACAATATGACAAAACAAGGCCACCATCACAAGGTCAGCATACCTCTGTTATAATTCGAAAGCGGCCATGACCAGATAGACCAATTCCAAAACCCATTGTTACACCATCCATGAGACTTATATATGGCTTCTTGTACTCAGAAATTTTGCAAATCAAAGAATACTCAGCAGCAAACACCTGAAACATGCATTACAACAAAACATAATTTTCACATTATACTAACGGGTAATGCTATAATGCAAGATGCAGGAAAAGAGGATTGACATATTGTTAACAGAATTTCTTTAAAAAGATGCAATTTTGCAATTTCCAACCAGAGAAAAAAGGATGAAAATGGGAGGATATTAAGAAAGAAAAAATGATTATTAAACCGATGCTCAACCTGTCTGATACTCTTGGGCTATTCAAAGGGAAACCAAAATATGGGGAAAATAACATAAATGCAAAGTCAGCATAAATAGACAAATAAAAGTCAGAGATTACATGAAACAATAATAAAGCTAAATTCGAATTTCCTCCTATGGCTAGAATAAGTCCCTTCATTCCCCCATCATTTTGATGTAATATGCATTGGAATATAACTACGTTGATGATGGACAACTAAAAAACAGTATACTCAATGGTGCACATATCATCGTTGCGATCACATGAATATATCTGAATACGCTTGAGGAGAAAACAATAACAAAACCTTCGGCACCAGAGGAGTGCCTCTGTCCTTTTGGATTTCAGCGGCAACGCCTTTGATATCCATTCCTGCATAGATAAACTAAGGTAACTCTCAAAACCTGACCTATCATTCAACAACAAATAGCATGAAATCTCAACAAAATTCAAAAGTGACAATAGTATAAGATCCCCTCCCCCAACCCCTCCCGGAAGCGGTAACTACTTCTTGCAAGAAAAGCTAACTTCAGTATCGTCAGTAGAGAAGTTAACCTCCATGTACGCTAAACAACAATTTGCCAAAATAAAATATTCAGTTAAAAAAAATGTTATGATTCTATAGATCATTCAATCATACCTGCAGAGAAGGCACGAGAAGAGCTGCTGTCGACAAGAACACATTTAACTCCGGGATCCGTTTCCCATTCATCAAGGTAACTCTTAAATCTTAAATCCATATCTGCTTCACAAATTATCCAAGTCAAGGTAAAGATAAATCTTATAGACGTAAAGAAGTGATTGATTTTAATCCTAAACAAGGATGAATTTAAAATCGTAATTGGTAAGCAAAGAAAGAAACACGCCATATTCCCAACGCATAAAATCAAACAGTCTGTCTTCAAAGTCTCCAAACACCATTCTTCCTAATGTCAATAAAAGATCCTGACATTATCATCTCCTCCAATGCAGGAAAACCAATACAATTCATCCCACTTCTACTTCGCAGTAAGTCACAGGCTCCATATTGTTTTAACAACAATTTGATAAACCAGCAAGAAGCACGAGCGTCAGAGCGACAACACGACGAAAAGAAAAAGAAAGAAAAGGGAAACCTAGATTCATGGCGTTGAGGGCTTTGGGGCGATCAAGGGTGATAACGGCGACACCGTTCGGATGAACGCTGCCCTTCACAAACTCTTCGACGGAAGAAGCCATCGTGGCAATGGGACGGAGAAAGGAAGGCGATGGTTTGGTTGATTTGGAGGGAGAAGAGTAACAGAGGAAACTGAGGACACGAAGAGAAGCTCCACCACCACCAAGTATGCTTCGCATGCTTTTCAGGTGATTGATCACTGTAAATCGGAGAGCCTGCGAGGGGTGATATTTCTTCGCCTTATTGACGTCTCTGCCCCTACTAGTTGTCATATATTACGTGCACGGGCTTTAGTTTGATTGTGTCATGGAAGGCTAAATTGGGGCCCCAAATGTTCTCACGATAAGCATGGGGAACAATCATAATCATAATAATGTTTTATAAGAAAAATAGTAACGAATATATATTTTGATACATTATCAAACACATAATATCATGCAATTCTATTTGAAATCTCATGAGACGCTAAACGTGGACATCTCTTCTAACAAGAATTCGAATTTTAGTTTGTCATATTAAGACTAATCTCTTCTGTAAAACCAATCCTTACTAGTTTTTTTGTATGTTATATAAGTAAATTTTTTCCAATGTTAAATATAAAAGTTAGTAAAAGAATTTGTTTTTAATGATATACTACCTTCAGTCCTTAATATAAGATTCTGTTTGACTTTTATTTTAGTCCTAAATATAAAATCTCATTCCACTTTGTCTCTCATATTTATATTTTTTTCCAAAATAACCCTTCTAACAATGATAGTTCTAGTCAATACACTTAATAGTAAGGATATTTTAGAAAAGACAACACCTATTTAAAACGAATAACTAACTCAACTTACTTCCTTAATCTCTTTAAATTAGTTAATTGGCTTTATAATTAAGACCAGAGATAGTATAAGACATTATCTTTTATGTTTATAATTTTTTTTTCTAAAAGGTGCTATGTGACATTTAGTAAGAGCTTTTATTAAAGCATAAAAAATCAGACCAAAAAAAGTTGAAGACGTTATTGGTTCAAAGGCCAACGAACTGGCTTGACGGGAGCATGGTTTTGGAACCAAAGACCAGTTTCCATATAGCTTTTTAATTAACCCATTTTAATATACTAGTTTTGTTTTGGTGTGTGTACGTGTCGTGCATCGCTCCAATAGCAGCCATTTCTATCTTTTGATTGCACATTGTAACTATATTTATATGTGCAAACAATTGCTTATGTTTTTTCTTTTTGTCTAGAATAACTGTTTAATTTTAATTACTATTATCTAATTATTATCGTTCGTCATCATCAATATTATCACTATGCCTATAATCTGTAATGACCATATAAAAACGTATAATTTGTTATGCAAAAATTGTTATTACCTAGGAATTTTAGGATCATTAGAGCATTCCCAAGATCCTCAACTAAAATTTCCATATTCTTGATATTTATCTTGAATTTTTCCCACAATTAGGACAAAAAGCCTACTTCTAATTTTTAATTATTAGTTAGTATTAGATACAGTAATAAAATATATGATCATGTGTGATTAGAGAACTCAAACTATGTATTTTTCATAAATAAAATATCATGTTAAGGCCTAGTTTGGACCCCGTGTTCCAATGGGCTACGACAAGGCTTTACCGAAAGGATATGAGGAAATCTTTGGGCCTAACTATATTTTGTTTTATTTGCACATAGTAGTTTTTTTGGGCCAACGCGCACAGAGTGTAATATCAACTTAGTTTTTGTGGCTCTGGTCATGTATTTTAAGCCCATTAATCCTTTTTTTTCCCCTAGACACAAGCATTCTCTTATTGAAATTAGAGGGTGTTTGGATGGAAACCAAACCATAGTTTTAAAAGTGTTTTTACAGTCTACAAATGGGGTGTTTGGGTGATTGTCCAAACCATGGTTTGGGGACCTAAACCATGGTTTGGGAAAAAATTACCCAAACACCTATCAATTTTTCAAAACCATAGTTTTATGATAAAACCATGGTTTGCCTTTCAAAACCAAGGTTTTGTAATAAGCGAAAGATTTTTGCTTTTTGAGTGGTTCTCCCCCCACCCCCTACGGTAATTTTTTTTTTGGTTGAAAACAATTATTTAATTTTCTAAAAACACAATCTTATATTGTATCATTATATATACACATATTAACAATTATCACATCTGGTTTTTAATATAAGACCTCATTTGATTTTTATTTGGTTCTAAATATAAAACTTCAATCTACTTTATTTCTCATATTTGTCTATCGTTTTTTAAGTTATAACCAATAAACTTGATTAATAGGGATATTATACGAAAGGCAACACCTGTTTATTACAAATAATTAATTTAACTTATTTTTTTAATCTACTCAAATTAGTCAACTAACTTTTACATTTAGAACTGGATATAGTAATTAATATATTTTTTTATACATTGTTTATTATGTTGGCAAAAAAATTAATAAATTTATTATTTCAGTTTTTAATGTAGGACCTAATTGGAGAGTTAATATTAGTCTTAAATGTAAGATTATTGTTCCGATCATTAATGTAAAACCTAATTAGAGAGTTAATATGTAGACAAGGTCTTAATACCTTCATCAATAGAATCTTCATCTCACATGGCTTGGTTTCGTGACTCCATAAGAGATCAAATTATTCACTATATACAAGAATAGTCATGTCTTTTTTATTTTCTTTTTTCTTTTCAGATAATGTAATGTGTTGTTAAAAAAAACTACTTGGACAAATATATTTCGTTGCAACCTCTATTATTAAGACAAGTAATATGAAATTTTTTTGTGTGGTTATTTAATTTTGTGAAAAAAAAATATGGGATTTCATCTTTAAAATTTTTAAGAAATAATTTTTTTTTTGGCAAAGTAAATCATTTTCCAATTATTTTATCAATATATATACACATTAATTTTTTTATTAATTATATTAGTTATCCCAGGGGCGGAATATTCATGATAATATCATCATTGTCAATGAGTTGATTCATTCGATGAGGAAGAAGAAGGGGAAAAAGGGATACATGGCAATTAAGGTGGATTTGGAAAAGGCTTATGACCGAATTAGCTGGCAATTTTTGAGGAATGTGCTACATGAACTAAACTGTCCTCAGGAACTCATAATTAGAATCATGGCTTGTGTTGATAATGCTGAAACAAACATATTGTGGCATGGAGAGAAACTTGAGAGCTTCATACCGACCAAGGGGCTACGGTAAGGAGATCCCATATCTCCTTACTTGTTTGTGATTGGCATGGAAAAACTCACACATTTAATCCTAAACCGAGTGAGAGCGAAACAGTGGAGAGGACTAAAAGCTAGTCATTCAGGACCTATTATTTCCCATATGATGTTTGCAAATGACCTTGTGTTATTTGCAGAAGCATCAACTAACCAAATTGACATTATTCTTGATTCCTTGCAGGAATTTGGTGAAATTTCAGGGCATAAGGTGAGTCAAAGCAAGACCCATATCTACTTCTCCCCCAATGTAAATCAACAGGTTAAAAGAGTAATATGCCAAAGGAGCAGATTCAAGGAGGTGGAGGATATTGGTAGATACCTCGGTGCTGATATAGTGTTTCCTAGAAGCAGTAAACAAAAATATAGATATGTGGTTAACCGAGTGCAGAGAAGGCTAAGTGGTTGGAAGGCGGCCAGTTTAGCATTGGCGGGAAGAATCACACTGGTTAAAGCTGTGACTAGTTCCATGGCACTGTACCCAATGCAACATGATAGAATACCACATAGTATAATAGAAGAAATAGAAAAAGAGGAGCGGAAGTTTATTTGGGGAGATTCGAAAGAGAAGAAAAATTGGCATGCACTCGCATGGGAAAAGATGTGTCAACCGAAAGATATTGGAGGAATGGGAATCAAGTCCTTGAGATGTATGAATGATGCTTTCCTAACCAAACTTCTATGGAAAATTCATACATCCCGCGAGGACTTATGGGTCAAGGTGATCATAGGAAAATATGGAAGAGGAAGAAGTTCAGGTGAAAGATTAATTGCTAAAGGAGCTAATTCTCGATTATGGAAGAATCTGACCAGGATGTGGGATATATTCCAAGCTAATGTGGATACTAGATGGGTAAGCAATGAACTTATAGAGCACACGCTACAGTATAGATGGAAACCTGAAAAGAATAGGAAGTTCACAACTGCCAGTGCTTATGGGGTAATAAGGAGTGACATTGATATTGCGGATCAGAGGAAGAAACAGATTTGGAAGCTCAGAGTGCCCGAAAGAATTAGAATATTTATATGTAGGATGGTTCATAGGAGGCTAGCCACTAAGGAGATCACAAGTAAGTGGAATGGAGGAAATCAGCTCTGTGACTTATGTCAACAGAAAATGAAAACTCTGCTCCATGCACTGAGGGACTGTCCGTATGCCACAGTTGTAACATCCTAAATACTATTAAAAAAATTTAAATTAATAAAAAAAAAATTGACCCAGCTTTCCATCGACTTTCGGTGGAAAACCGGGGGGGTTATTAAGAGGGAGAAGAATATGGGGGAAGACCATTGACGGAAGAAGAATTTGACGCGGGTAATTAAAGAGGGAGGAGGAAAAATGGGGAGGAATAATAAATGAAGGAAGAAAATTGAGGAAGGATGGTTGGCTTGTTAAAGGATAAATAGAAGAGTGTGAGTGTTGTGTAGAGTAGAGAAAGAGAGGTGAGAGACGCAGGAAGAAAATCAAAGAACAAGAGAGTGAGTGAAGATTTCTGCAAGGACGTGCTAGCATTTGGGGATCATTTAGGTACATAAAAATACTTCTTTCTATTAGATTTCTTTTATGAATATTTTCTATATATTTAGAGCTTTATATTAGTAGTATTACTATACTGTTTAGAGAAAATTTTGTGAGCTGGGTACAAAGTAAGTAATGATTTTTGACAATATATGACTGTAGAAATTTAGAAATAAATAAGTAGTTAATTTTAACCAGTTTAGATTTGTCTATTTATTATCTATGGTATTTAAAATTAAATTTATTTGTCGAAAAATCTGTCATTTATGATATATATCATATTTATACCGATTAAAAATAGGTTAAATAATTTATTTGGGTTGTTCGATATATTATTAAAATTTTAATCAGTTTATATTTATTTATTGATTGTTTTGAGAATTTTAAACTAAGATTTTAGTTGAAAAATGTATTATTCAAGATATATAGAATTTTTTACCGATTAAAT